TATACTCGTTAAGATAATAGATCATATAATAATAATAATAGAATAGAATGAAATAGTCTGGAGCTATAATGTCATTGAACTTATTTTTCAGTCGCTTTGATGCTGCCCCTGACACCTCTCCCTCCCCCACCCCCCACTACTCTAACGACCCACCCATCAGCCCTGCCCCCAGCCTAACAATAGCCGCTAAAGAGATTAAACAACTCTTCCTGAGGCTGCACCCCCGCAAAGCTCCTGGCCCGGACCACGTGTCTCCGGCCACTCTGAGACACTGCGCCAGTGAGCTTACTCCTGTGTTCACGGACATTTTCAACTCCTCTCTGCAGTCCTGCCATGTCCCGGCCTGCTTCAAATCCTCCATCATTGTCCCCGTCCCGAAGAAGCCCAGGATCACAGGACTCAATGACTACAGACCTGTAGCACTTACGTCTGTCGTCATGAAGTCATTTGAACGCCTGGTTCTCTCCCATCTCAAGTCCCTCACCTCCCCCCTCCTGGACCTCCTGCAGTTCGCCTCCCCCCTCCTGGACCCCCTGCAGTTCGCCTACAGAGCCAACAGATCTGTAGACGACGCCATTAACCTGGCCCTCCACCACATCCTACAGCACCTGGACTCCCCGGGGACCTACGCCAGGGTCCTGTTCGTGGACTTCAGCTCTGCCTTCAACACAATCCTGCCATCCCTGCTCCAGGACAAGCTCTCCCAGCTCAACGTGCCCGATTCCACCTGCAGGTGGATCACTGACTTCCTGACGGACAGGAAGCAGCGAGTGCGTCTGGGGAAGAATGTCTCGGACTCTCGGATTATAAATACAGGAGCCCCACAGGGCTGTGTTCTTTCTCCCCTGCTCTTCTCCCTGTACACCAACCACTGCACCTCCAGCCACGACTCCGTGAAGCTGATCAAGTTCGCGGACGACACCACCCTCATTGGACTCATCTCCAACAACGATGAGTCCGCCTACAGGAGGGAGGTGGACCGGCTGGTGTCCTGGTGCAGTGGTAACAACCTGGAGCTGAACGCCCAGAAGACAGTGGAGATGATTGTGGACTTCAGAAAGAGCACTGTCCCCCCGCCCCCACCCCCGTGATGGACTCCCCCATAACCTCGGTGGAGTCCTTCCGTTTCCTGGGCACCACCATCACCCAGGACCTCAAGTGGGAGCCGACCATCAGCTCCCTCATCAAGAAGGCCCAGCAGAGGATGTACTTCCTGCGGCAGCTCAGGAAAGCCAAGCTGCCTGCACAGATGTTGGTGCAGTTCTACACGGCCATCATCGAGTCCATCCTCACCTCCTCCATCACCGTGTGGTTCGCTGGAGCCACAGTCAGGGACAAACAGAGACTACAGCGCATTGTGCGCTCTGCAGAGGAAGTGATCGGCCGCAGCCTTCCATCGCTGCAGGACCTGTACGTCGCCCGAGCTCGAGGCCGGGCTGGTCGTATCACAGCCGACCCCTCTCACCCTGCACATGGACTATTCCAACCACTCCCCTCAGGCAGGAGGCTGCGGTCCATCAGGACTAGAACCTCCCGCCACAAGAACAGTTTCTTCCCCTCTGCTGTTGGACTCTTGAACACTTCTTAACCTGTCCCCCCGCCCTTTATAAAGTCACTTTACTGCCCATCATACGTCACTTTACTGTACTGCTGTACTGCTGTCACCTTACATTGTGTGCACCATGTGCACTTGTATATTGTAAATAGTAACTGTAACTCTATTTTAAATTTAAATTTATTCTTTAGAAGTGTTGTTTATTCTTATTTTTATTATCTCTTTTTGACTGTTGCACTGAGCCAAAGCAATTTTCTAGTCTGTGACCTCCTGTTACTTACGTGGCAATAAAAATGATTCTGATTCTGAAAATATGTTGGCTTTCCCTGGCAGCACTAAATAAATACTAAAGGCTTAGGGCTGCGTCCTAATTCATTATAGTACCTTCTTTCTTATCCTACTATCCCTCATGTTATTGACATTTGAAGCATAAGTGGTATTAAAACTTCTTAGGGCGTTTTCACATGTGTTACTGCGCTCCCTGGGTCGGCCTGAGGGCCCACTAGATTTACTACACAGGTAAATGCACCGTTCATTCTCCACAGTCACACGCCCGGTTTATGAACAACACACACGATTATTTTTTTTTGGCGCGTTCATTCATGAAACCACAAATCCACAATGAATCAGCGTGAGCGTGTACTGCGCACTGAAGTAGGATCAGCGCCACAGATCCGCTCACAAACCTTCAGTCTTCATGAACATAAGGGGCGCTTTAACATTATACATTTCCTTCGTGTCTTTCCTTCACATCGCTCCACACTGTGCCCATTTCATTGAAGCTAAACGCACTCAGAGGCGCGTGGAGTAACAGAGCGGCTACGTCTGAAATCATTAAAAAAAGAAACCCCTTCTTTACCTTTTAGCTAGGTTAACTAGCTAGTTAGTTATTAGCCCAGCTGCGCGTCTCTCTTGACAACGCCTTGACCCCGACCCAACTAGTGGCAGTGTGAAAACGACCTTAAAAGCAATTACATTTCTCTTAATTCACATGGAGGGGCAAGGAGGCATTTATTTGGAATTTGGGATGCAGCCTGACACCACTGTCAAGTCTTACCGACGAACGTACAAAGCATTCAAAGTAAATGTGCAATTTATTGCATTGCATTGATTTAACAACGCTAGGTACAGGGTGGCTATGATGGTAGGCTTCGTTATCAAGCGAGCACGCAATGGTTTGAGCAAGTAAAAATTAGTGCCTTCCCTCCATGCTTCCCCACCACAACAAGCTAACGTTAGCTCAGCTAAGTTAACAGATAGCGTTAGCTCAGCTAACAGTAGATAGCGTTACATCATTCTTGCGACTGACTATACAGACAAATTGAAACGTTACATGTTAATATCACTTACCATGCCTTAACGTTGCCACTCTTCTTGGAACTCGCTGTCTTGTGGTCTGTAACTGTATGTGATGTGGCTGTGGTGATAAAGGCAGACTGTATACATGTAGTTAACAGCTACGTGCGGCGCCTATTTTGCATGCTCTTATTTTATTTACTCGTAAAAACAGGCTTTTTTTTTACTTATAAAAACAGGATTTATTTGTCTCGTAAAAACAGGATTTATTTGTCTCGTGAAAACAGGATTTATTTGTCTCGTAAAAACAGGATTTATTTGTCTCGTGAAAACAGGATTTATTTGTCTCGTAAAAACAGGATTTTTTTTAACTTATAAAAACAGGATTTCTTTTAACTTATAAAAACAGGACGTCTTTTTCTCGTAAAAACAGAAACTTTACTCATAAAAACAGAAACTTTTTTTTTATTTCAAGTGAATGCAATAAGCTTCCGTAGATATCAAATTCACTGGAGGAAGAATAACTTTTTGAAAAATGCTAATGAAGCATTTAGCATTTTACTTTGGAGTCGAGAAAATGGTCAGAACGAAGTGGCTACTCCTCTGCTGCTGTGACCTGAAGTGCTGTTTCTTATACTATTACTATTGTTAGCTTTTTAGAATATTCAGTTTATTCATTATCAACAACACTTTGGCAATATACAGGCACCCCACTGCGGCACCTGGTGTTCTCAGATGTTTCCCATCACAGCCCTGACCAGGCTCTATCCTGCACGACTCCAGAGGTCTGACAAGATCCGGCGTTCGCATGCAAGTAACACAGCCACAAATAATAACTAAATATTCACATTTACCCCTGCCCTTCTCAACCGCCACGTTCTGTCACTTTACTGCACGGCTAAATATCTATTGTGTTTACTGTGCACTTACATATATAAAAGTAATTATGGGAAATGTCATAAAGATTTTTTTGTACATGCCTTTACTTTTTTACTCTTACAACTTGATTGCACCACGAGCCAAAGAAAATGCTTACTTTCTCACTTCCTGCTATTCACAATGGCATTGAATCTGAAATCAGCCCCCGCTAAGTGCACTGGCGTCTGCAGCGTGTGTTCCCAAAGCCCCTCTGTCTGCTCAGCTTCAGATGGCTCCAATGCGCTCGCTCGATTGGATTACTGCCCTCTGCGTGGATCCAATCACCCGACCCAGATCTCTTTCATCAAGATTGGAAATTTTTAAACTTTTCTGCATATTTTTCATCCCTTCCTGTCACGCCTCACACCTGTCCTTAAAGGTCACAGAGAGCTGGTGATGAAAACAATATTACGGGAGCATTTATCATAAGCGTTTCAATATTTTACTCTCACTCAGACAGCCCGCGCAAATTGTTTACTTATTAATATACAGGGAACAGCTTGACTTTCAGCACAAAGTCAGGCGCTCGGAAAAGGAAGTCCAAATAAGGTCGTTATTCAAAACTCAAGTGACAGCCAAATTTGGATGGTGAGTCAAGCATGTAGCAATAGATGTGGAGTTTACTCAGTGGGCACTATCTTAAATGCATTCTAGTGGCTTCAAAATAAAATAATATTTGTTGTGGTCCAAGAGATTAATTAGTAAAAATAAAATGGACGGATTTTAACGTTTTAAACTACAGGGAAAGTTGTGTCATTATCCTGAGCATTGTTTTTTAGTTTTTTTGATTTTTTACAACAACATGGTGTGTTTAAATGAGTCCACACTGTTATGTAAAATTCTAAAAAACGAGGCAATGCTTATGTTTTGAAAGACATTAACAGCTTTTTCTATGACAGGGGTTGGACGATTAAGCATTTTTTTTCAATTTAAAGCACATTTTTCTTACACAATGGATCACATTTCCCCTGGTTTTTCCCCCCAAGCCAGAAGGTTTTTGTCTGTATGCTTCTGGTCTGTCCATAAACCCCTTTTCCCCGTAGTTGAAACAATGCCTGGACCTTCATATTTTTAACAGTGTGTAAAAGTTTCTTGGGAAGACAAAGCCGCCACACGCTCCAGACTGGTCAAGCTGTGCACTTTTGGGACCAGTTGTCTGCCCATGACTTTGTGCGTGGCTTCAGACTTGTTGTTGTGGTTATTAGAAACAGCTTACACAGTGGAAGTGCAGATGGAGCACAAAGAGCAGCAGAGCCAGAGCCACTTCAGTGAAATTCACAGGGACAGCGAGCGCGTCACACCACCGCCCCCAGCCTTTCATATCGATCTGTTAAAGCCCGGGTACCTCACTTTCAAAAGAATAAGAATGGGCCTCACTCTCATGGACCTCTCAGACAATGAAGGTATGTAATGAATTCAATTCAACACTATGTTCTCAGTCCGGTTCTATCAATAGTGTTCGCCTGACATCTTTACACTGCAGAAAATGTGAAAATATGAGGAAATAATTGCTTGAATTGAGTATTTGAGAATCTTACAACAAGATTTTTTCAACAGGACAAAGCCAACTAGTCTTATTTCAAGAACTGTTGCTTTTTGTCCTCATTCTAAGGGAGGCATTTCTTGAATCTTAAAAATAAATCATTTTGACTTGTCCCGTTGACAAAGCTTTTTTAATGCAGTGACAATATGCTCATTTTACAAAATATGAGCAATTTTGTTATCATTTTTTTTAATATCACTTTTTGCAGTGCAGTTTTGTCAAACTGAAAAGTGAAAAAGAACGGATCAGCTCTCAGCCAATCAGCTTTCAGCCCCAGGGCTCTTTCTTCAAAGTATGAAAAATAACATGTTTTATAACGTGATCGGTTTGTTTAAAAAAGATGGAAAAAATGATGGCTTAGTCTATACCTATTATGGGAATTAGATAGCTATAAAGTGATCTGGCCTTAGGTCACAACGACCCGATTCTGTATCTGCTATGATTGGGTGTCCGTGTTTTATTCTTTCGTTGTCTTGTTATGTTCTGATTGTTCCCTTGATGTGACACGAATGCTTATCCATTTATGACGTATGTGTGACGTAAACGTTGACTATATAGACCTTAACCTGATTATGTTCTGAAAAAAAAAATCCTGAAAAATCCTGAAAAGAACCTGCAGACACTTGGGAATAAACTTCCGAGCCCTGGTGCGCCTTGATCCCGTCTCTGTGTGCTTGATTTTCCACACTATGTTTACACCAAGTAAACAAAACAGTGGACTGTGCAAACATGTTTACAGTGCGACGTAAAAACAATAACAGGACTCAAGAAACAAAGACGGAAGGCTTCTTAACATAGACTAACCAAGGAGTGAGCAAACTTCCCTTTAGCCCCGCCCCTGGGTAAACCTGTTACAAATTGAAAAAGGTTTAGTACAAATACAAACTACATACTTTTACAAGACTGGGACAAAGATTATGGGTTATTTATGGGAGTAGCAAGCATTTCACATCTTAAACCATTTTTAAGCATTAAAATGTAATGTTAAATTGGCAAATTTAAATTAAATTGGCAACCAAACCACTGACCCAGCACTAAAGATCTTAATCTGATCTTAATCTGATGAAAGTGAGACTCTGATTGTATGGACTCCAGCTGAGAGTGAAGAGATAGAAGAGGGGGGATTCAAAATTGTCTAGTCCTGGTAAGAGTATATTAGAATTCTCTCATCTGAATTGAATTGGTCTTGAGCTTTGGTTGCATTCACAACGACGGTTTAGACTGTACGTCATAAAGTTTAAAAAATACAGGTCATCTTATCTTTGTCTGGACAGGACCTTAGATATTCCATCAATGCACATGAACATTTTGCCTGTAAAGAAAACAGCCTCTCAGTGCGTCAGGGAGATGAGCCCAGTGACCCAGTCCTTCGTGATGCCTTTATAACAGAAGATAACAGCAGATTTCATATTTAGGTGACAAGGGGATTATTGGGGGTTAAGGACTCTGATAAAATGGTTCAATATGTTTCATGAGGCGTATTGTGAATTGGGTTTTAGTGTTGCACTATATGTCGCACTAAAAAAGCGTAATTATATTTGAGATGCATGAATCTTTTCTCACTTTTTTATTCTTAAAAGCATGAAAAAAATTACATCTTTTAAACGTGAGTGGTTGGTTTAAAAAGACAGATTATACATTACTTTGAGATCAACAAAAAAACAATTGCATATACATCACTCAGTAAACCTAAAAAAACAAAATAAATGAAACCACACAAGGACCACACAACTCAATGCACGGCTTTTGACAGCAGCAGCAGCACTCAAACCTACAACGAACAAGTTTTATATCTCTCCGATCCCACTTCAGCCGTTATGTGTGTGTGGTGAGGGGTTCCATTTATTTTTTCAATGCAACCCCAGTGATAAAAGATCAAAACAATCATCCACTTCCTGACAAACAGCGCTTCCTGAAAGCTCTTAACACCCAGCACCCCCTCTGGTTCCCGTTCTAGGCTCCCGCTCTGGCTCCTGCCCTGGCTCCTGCTCTGGCTCCTGCTCTGGCTCCTGCTCTGGCTCCTGCCCTGGCTCCCGCTCTGGCTCCTGCTCTGGCTCAAGCTCTGGCTCCTGCTCTGGCTCCTGCTCCGCCTACGCCCCATTCACACCATACTCCAGCCACTACCAGGGCTTGACCCCAGGGGATTTGAGATCATCTTCAGCTGCAATCGATCTCATCGCTGCAAGTGTCACTGCCGGGGTCAATGCGCTAAATAAATAAATCATTTTAATGTATTAATTGTGTCTTTGGTCTCTTCAGATTGAAATAGGGCGAGTGGGTGGCAAACGTGAACATTTTCTGTTCAGCCATTTTAGGTTTTAGTATATTCGATAACTAAGAGAAACAGGAAGAGGGTGAAGGGGGTAAACGCATTCCATTGGTTTGTTGGGGATGAACGAATCCCATTGGTTAATTTCTATCGGTCCGCTCCAAAATATGTTTTATACATTTTTGGAGACTATAGGCATCTATTCAATTCCATTACTATTCCAAAACACATGATAACTTGACTACTTTTAGGGTTTAGGGATGTTTTCCCACAGTATTTAAAAAAATACGTCTGGAAAAAATCACTGACTGCATCTTTAATTGGCCAACTAATTGATTATCTAAATGACAGCCCTAAATAAAACAACTGCCGATATATATCGCATATAAATACAGCATTAAAGTGATAAAACTGTAGGTATCTGATCTGAGTATGTGTCTGGATCAATCTCGTTACTGTAGTTCTTTAGTTATTCTGTTTCTTGCACATGTGTATGGCTGGATGTGAGCCATGAAGATTCAGCAATTTCTCTTGGGAGCAATAAAGCATCCCTCTGTCCGACTTGACTCAGACAAAACAAAGCCACGGTCCTTTCTCGTAAATCTGTTGAATGCACGCTCTGCACTTTGATCTTAAACGTCTCTGAGCGCGCTACAGACGGCCGCCTGAGTTTGTGCTGACCCCTGTATTCTGCTGTACAACATCTGGCCCAGAACGTAACCCGCTGTGACAAAGCCGCTGCACGGGGAGAGTCACCACGTCGGGCCGGCCGCGCTCTGGCCGTGTAGCGCCGTGGCATATGCTCGCGCCCAGCTCAGCGCTCTGCAAGGCTGCGGGCGCCACCCTTCACTGCGATGTCCCGCTTTCACGTGAGGTGCGGCTAAAAACGGAGAAGCTTTGCATATTTAAACGCGCCCAGGGCCAGAGCAGCTGTGTGTCTGCTGACCACCGCTTTCCACATGACGGCCACAACAATACAGTAAGCAAACTGGGGACGTGTGTGTGTGGAAGTGTGTGTTACTGTGTGTTACTGTGTGTGGGGGAATGTTTCTGTTGTTGTTTTGGAGAATCAATTTCAAGTGAAGCAGGAGCTGGTGCCCTCAAAACAGGTTGATTGTCAAACAAGCAGCAGGAACTCGGTCAAGGACACTGCCTACATGTCATTGTCAGGATGCAAGGTAAGGCACTGAGAGCTGATTGGCTGCTGCAGGGGTAATCCACCCTGATTCACTTGTGTGTGAAGAAGCTGCTCGGTGGCTGTGCTCGTGGCCAATGACTGGAGAGAACACAATAGAGAACCATTTGACTTAGACTTAGACAGACTTTTTTGATCCTCAAGGGAAATTGCATTGTCACAATAGCTTGCTTTACTTGCATTTGGTGCAGTTTTGACTTATTGTATAATTAGTCATTAAGTTTTATACAACACTTTTTACAGATTAACACATTTTATAACTCATGTGGTTTTGTTGGGTGGTCAGGTTGGTGAGTTAATGTGGATTTTTTTTTTGGACCAAACTGTAAAGCACTGGTTCTTAGATCATGGTCAGTCAGAATGGAGGGTCAGAATGGAGGCTGTTGCTGCAGCAGATGTTACATGTACAGTACTTGTGAGTCTGCTTGTACACTTCTCTTTGGATAAAGCAAGCGGGAATTTATTTTCCTTTTTTTTTTGTAGAAGTGGTTATATACCATATACCATAGAAGTGGTTTTATACAATATCTATTACATTAAAGCAAAATCATACGTAGTTAGCCGTGGACATTTCCAAGTGACACACGTGGCATACACTCTAAAATTGAGAAACTTATAGATGGGATTCATTCTTTCAGTATAATTTAGTAAATTCTGTATATTCTACAGTACATGCAAACATGGGAACAGTTCAAATCTGACACACTTCAGCAGAGTCTTGGGAGTCGCTGAGATCCGTGTGAGGCTCAGAGCTGAGATACTGAGGGGGTTTCAAAGACGGATGCTTTTATCTATTCACTAACATGTTTCCATATGTGACATAATAAGTAAATTAGTAAGAAACAAAACATGAAATAAACTGAATGTCTCAATCTCATGTCCTCTTGCCCCCATTCCCTCACACTTTTTATAGTCCTTATTTATTTCCAGAATCTAGCTATTTCATGGGAATGACATTTTTAGGGAACAAAATAGCTTCATTCTGTCATGGTATTAAATACATACTACATTATACTTCCATGTTACACAAATTAAAGTAGCAGTATGTAATATTTGCATGTCAATTCATCATTAAATGGCCCAAATATTTCAAAAGGCGTTATTAAATCATGCTCCGAGATATTTGAATATCAAAATTAGTTTTACGACCCGTAAAAGTTGTTATTGTTTTCATTAGATGTCCCACCCGCCGCCGTTTTGCCAATCAGGAAGTGAGTAATCTGTATTGCCAGAACTCCCCGCGGCTAATCTCAGAGGTAAAATAACATGTGGCCGCAGAACTAAAAAAGGTCTTATTATCACTCTCAAATCATTAATGACAAAACAAAGACTAAAACGAGGATTTATATTGGGACGCCTTTGAAAAATTGAGACGGCGGATACGTTTTTGTGTGATGCAAAACTTGCTGGATTCACTCCATTTTCCTCTGCATCATTTACAGTGTGTAAAGATGTGTGGTGTAGGCACTGAGCTTATGTTCCAGCGACCCGGGTTCGTGTACGGGCATTGTTTACTTGTGTTTAATTACATTCTATAACAGATTGCTCAAAATCAGGTAAAAGACAATAATCAAGACGTTTTTTGCAGATTATAGCTTATTCGTAAAAAGAATAATTTGAGACCATATGTATCCCAATTAAAATAATGTTTGTCTCTTTTTGATGTGGGACTTATACATGTATGTCTAAAAAACAGGGAAAACATAAAATTGAAGGGTGATGTCCTCTGGAGGAGAAATATGTTCCAACATCCATTCTTCCCACTCCTATTTTGGACATCAATTGCTTATTTATTTTGCATAATCTATGTATAATTAAATTGCTTTTATTTTGTTTTTCTGATATCAAATGTCCAAATAAAAAAATAAAAACTTTCATTCAAAATATTCATTCAACATTAGCGTGCCTCATGGCAATGTGAATGGAGGCAGACAAACAACTGATAAAATAATTCCTTGTGTTTGCTGCTGGATTTGGTGTGTATCTGGCAACCTGAGTCAGGGAGAGTGAGAGGGGACTAAAAAATATTAACTGTGACTGTAGTACCACTTTTGGCCAGATTTTTACATACTGCTCCTTTAAGTGACATGTATGAAATAAATTAACGTCCTTCTTTCCTTCCATCCTCCACATCGGTCCCGTTGTGTTTCGCCAAAGCTGGGGCCAGTGTGCGTGCCCTTGTTGTCCACATAAACTCCATGACATCATTACGAGGAGGTTTCGTCTGTCCTCACGCGTGGCCTCTGCAGCATATGCTCCTACACTGTAAAACTACCGCCATTAAAACTGCAAACTCTTCCACATGACATAGTACAGCGCTGCTCTGCTGTCCCGGTGGTGGAATTTACAGCTCCATAAAAGGCGAGCGGTTTAATGTCGCGGCTCTCTTTAAGGGAAGTGTGAGTTCTTCTTAAAAGGAATGTGCAGGGGGTCGTAAAGGAATGATTGTTTATGGCTCAAGCTGTTGTTGTTCACGGCGTTTCACAAAGATCATTTTTATGTTTGAATGTATTACACGTCCTGTCTGGGTCATATGCACGCACTCTCTCACCTCTTCTCCTATAACCGCCCTCAGATACATAGATTATTGGTTGACTAATTGATTTTATTCATTTGAGCAGAAATCATTCAAGTATTTACAATATTTCCATAATATTTATTTTATGGAGATACTTTTGTACGTTGTTATGTTGCCTACAGCAGTATATACACATGCAAATATATATACAGTAGATATATAAATATACAATCAAGCAACAGTAATTGCCATAGTTTCACCATGTGAATAATACAATTTCATAACAAATGTATTCACAAATGTATTTCTATTTACATCTTTTCAGCTGAAAATGGAGTGGGAAAGAAGTAAAAACCTGTAGACTCTAGATGAATTTAGTTAGTTAGCATTGAATAATGATAATTTTATAAGGATTTGCTGTGTTCAATGCAATTTAACACTTGAATAAAGCTAAATCTGCATAATCAAAATAAATTATCCAAAATATATCCACTGTGATAAACACTTTTTAAATATCAATTCATATTTATGAAAACCATCTTCAATCAACTCCCCCCTGGACTGCCACCTTAACGTGGTGGGGGAGTTTGAGTACTCGGGTGATCCTGGGAGCTATGCTGTCTGGGGCTTCATGCCCCTGGTAGGGCCTCCCATGGCAGACAGGTCTCAGGTGACGAGTCAGACAAAGAGTAGTCCAGAAGACACCATGGACAGCACAAATATGACAACAGTGACGTCGCCCGGCATGGCGCAGCCGGGGCCCCACCCTGGAGCCAGGCCTGGAGCCAGGCCTGGGGTCGGGGCTCGTATGCGAGCGCCTGGTGGCCGGGCCTTAGCCCACGGGGCCCGGCCGGGCTCAGCCCGAAGGGATGACGTGGGCAGTCCCTCCTGTGGGCCCACCACCTGCAGAGGGGTCTGTGGTGGCGCGGTGCTGAGAGGACTGGGCGGCAGTCGAAGGCGGAGACCTCGGTGACCCAGTCCGCACACACAACATCTGGCTCTTGGGACGTGGAACGTCACCTCACTGGGGGGGAAGGAGCCCGAGCTCGTGGGGGAGGTTGAGCGATACCGACTAGAGATAGTCGGCCTCACCTCCACACACAGCTTGGGCTCTGGAACCCAACTCCTTGAGAGGGGTTGGACGCTCCACTTTTCTCCCCGGTGAACTCCACTCTCACTCTCAAGTCTCTCATTGTTGTGACGGCCTACGGGCCTAACAGCAGTGCAGAGTACCTGGCCTTCTTGGAGTCCTTGGGACGGGTACTGAACGGTGCACCGCCCGGGGACTCCGTTATTCTCCTGGGGGACTTCAACGCCCATGTGGGAAACGCCAGTGACACTTGGAGAGGGGTGATCGGGAAGAACGACCCCCCTGATCTGAACCCGAGCGGTGTTCAGTTGTTGGACTTCTGTGCCAGTCACAGTTTGTCCATCATGAACACCATGTTCGAGCACAAGGGTGTCCATCAGTGCACGTGGCACCAGGACACCCTAGGCCGGAGGTCGATGATCGACTTTGTTGTTGTATCATCTGACCTTCGACCGCGTGTCTCGGACACTCGGGTAAAAGAGAGGGGCGGAGCTGTCAGGCTGAAGAAGGAGTCCTATCGAGCCATGATGGTTCGGGGGGTTCGGCAGGCCAAGCGTGCCGCGGCCCGGGCTGTTGCAGAGGACCGGGACTGGGAGGATTTCAGTGAGTCCATGGAGCATGACTATCGGTCGGCCTCGAAGAGATTCTGGCAAACCATCCGGCGCCTCAGGAGGGGGAAGCAGTTCTTTGCCAACACCATGCACGGTGCGGGTGGAGAGCTGCTGACCTCGACTGGGGATATTGTCGGGCAGTGGAAGGAATACTTTGAGGTTCTCCTCAATCCCCCCGTCACGTCCTCTGTTACAGAGGCAGAGGCTGAGGATGTTGGGGCGGATACATCCATCTCCCTGGCTGAGGTCACCAAGGTGGTTGGTAGCCTCCATGGTGGCAAGGCTCCCGGTGTGGATGAGATCCGCCCTGATTATCTAAAGTCTCTGGATGTTATAGGACTGTCTTGGCTGACACGTCTCTGCAACATCGCGTGGCGATCGGGGGCAGTGCCAATGGAGTGGCAGACCGGGGTGGTGGTCCCTCTCTACAAGAAGGGGGACCGGAGGGTGTGTTCCAATTATCATGGGATCACACTCCTCAGCCTCCCCGGTAAGGTCTACTCCAAGGTACTGGAGAGGAGGTTACGGCCGATGGTCGAATCTCGGATCCAGGAGGAGCAGTGTGGTTTTCGTCCCGGTCGCGGAACACTGGACCAGCTCTATTCTCTCCATCGGATACTCGAGGGTTCATGGGAGTTCGCCCAACCTGTCCACATGTGCTTTGTGGATTTGGAGAAGGCGTTCGACTGTGTTCCCCGGGGTGTCCTTTGGGGGGTTCTCCGGGAGTACGGGGTCGGAGGTCCTCTGCTGAGGGCCATCCGATCCCTGTATGACCGGAGCCAGAGCTGTGTTCGCATTGCCGGCAGTAAGTCAGACCTGTTCCCGGTGAATGTTAGCCTCCGACAGGGCTGCCCTTTGTCACCGGTTCTGTTCACTGTATTTATGGACAGAATATCTAGGCGCAGCCAGGGGTCGGAGGGGGTCCGGTTCGGAGACCACAGGATTTCATCTCTGCTGTTTGCGGACGATGTTGTCCTGTTGGCTCCAACGAACCAGGACCTGCAGCATGCACTGGGACGGTTTGCAGCCGAGTGTGAAGCGGCTGGGATGAGAATCAGCACCTCCAAATCCGAGGCCATGGTGCTCGACCGGAAAAAGGTGCCTTGCCCTCTGCAGGTGGGTGGAGAGGTCCTTCCTCAAGTGGAGGAGTTCAAGTATCTCGGGGTCTTGTTCACGAGTGAGGGAAGAATGGAGCGTGAGATTGACAGGCGGATTGGTGCAGCGTGCGCAGTGATGCGGTCGCTGTATCGGACCGTTGTGGTAAAGAGGGAGCTGAGCCGAAAGGCAAAGCTCTCGATTTACCGGTCAATCTTCGTTCCCTCCCTCACCTATGGTCATGGTCTTTGGTTATTGTTTAAACTATAAAAAATATAAAAAATTAAATACATACATTCAACAGACCAGGACACAGCATGACTTCAATATTGAAAATGTAATGCAGACTTTAATCATATGATATGATTGTGTTTATAAAATGTTGTATTGATATGATTCATAACAACAAAACATTTTATAAACACAATTCTACATTAAACAATAAATAAAATAAAAACAGGCCATGTTAAAAGGGGTTGGATGAGATCAACTATAAAAATCTCTACAGTAGAACCATACCACAATACAATACCTTATGCTATAATACAAAACAACACACACTCAGACAAGAAACAGGCCCAAACACTCTCCAGCCCTACACCTCTCTCTCACAGTTGCTCAGTTCTTTACTTTGTTACTTACATTAAAAAGGTAAATAAGAAGGTATTATATTACATAAAAAGCAATGCAAGATTAGCATTTCTGTGCCAATCCCCTCTTGGAAAGCCGCTCCCCTCCTCGCAGCATATGTATTGGACAAAATCCTACATTTAATCAGAGACTGTCTCGGTGCACCTCAAAGACATCATTCTAGACCCTGCTGGTCATTACGCTCGTTACCATATGCTCCGGAAAGTCCTTCAATCTCTGCAGGAGTCCAACCCGCGGATTAAGGCCGGATTTTGAGTTTCCATATTGAGAGGGTGAATTCTTATCTGACCCGACTTTAAGGCTTTCTCCAGCTGATAATAATATGTTTAATCTGGCTCTTATTATTAGAACTGTGATCATGGATGGTTGGAAAGAGATTTTCAAGAAAGCAGAGATAGGATAAACTTTATTGATTTCACAATGGAAAAATGTACATTGTCACATGGCATATAAATAGGATCGCTCAGGGTGTGTAAAAGGGAATGTGCAAACACAAAACTTTTAAACTTGTAACTTTTAAAGGCACGCTACAAGTAAAATCGTGATTTCTTTTTTTATATATATTGTTTTCCCTTGACATTTACAGAAGCTGCTTTTAGAGAGATTCATACATAATTGAGTGATGTATCATATCTTAAGTGTTCTCCTCACTCCTCTGGCCACAGAAACACCCATAGCCCCTCCCCCTGTTTTTACTTTAGAGAGTCAGATGAAAAAGAATTATGCATTTTTTATTTGAACATATTTCTTCAGCATTTTTCTCCAGCGTTTAGGCACTGACAATACCCATATCAACATTTTTATTTGTCAAAAAAATATGTGTGATGAATATGTCTGACTATTTCTAGAAAGCTCCTATTGACCGGGCTAGCATTCTAAGCATTTGTTGCTGGGAACATACATTGTTAGACAAGATGGACTGTATTGGACAATGTAGTTTATACAACAGTTTTATGTACTACAAAAACATCAATGCGTAGCTCACTTGTCAACGTGGAAAATTTTGCGTTGAAACGTTTTTCTCCGCCTCCACTTGTCTCCATTTTTTCCTGATAGAAATCCTTGTTTTATTCCTTGTTTTGTCATTAATAATTTGCAAATCATAGCCAGATTTATTTTTAATACTGCGGCCGGACGTGTTACTTTACCAGTGTGATTAGCTAGACACGGTGAGTTCTGGCAACCCACTGTTTTTACTTAGTGTTTTTACTTGAGAGACACAGACAAAAAGAATGGTGCATTTTAGGATTTCATTAGCAAATCTAAAAGAGTGAAATTGCACATATCCTCCTCCTCTTGTGCTGCTCCAGGCCTGACCTCTGGGGGGCACCGTTTGGAGGCACTTACAGCTCTGCGGGGGGTGCTGTGCTCCCTTCACTCAGGTGGGGCAGAGGTTTGGCCCGGCGCGGCATGTATCCCAGCATGCTTCGGGACAACCTTGAGACGGGACAGGCTGCTGATGCTCAAAGGTAATTTATCAAAGCTAAACCCTTTTAATGTTTCCTGTGGTTAACTGTTATGATAGTTTTCCAGTTTAGTTATGAATTAGTGATTCATGCACATTTCAGTTAATCACGCTGCATTCAAGGCCAGTGCACTGACGATCCCTGGTTTAAGATCCATGTTGTGCCGGCTTTTTTGCTCAACTGAAGAAAAAAAGTATGTAGGAAAAAAAGAAATAGGGGGATAGTTTAACAGCAATAGTGAAATTTAAAGCCTAAAAAATCATAATGAGACCATTTCTACAACATGCATGGACATTTATCAACACTCAACATTTATCAACACTTATTGGTCACCTCCTTATGGACCATCACCTGGGGGTGAATTTTTGTGTGTGTTTGAACCTGTTTTGATGTCCTGTTATCTTGTTCTGGGTTCTCAGGGTCCCTGCTGGCGCTCTTACCGGTGTCTATTTTGGTCTGTTTAATGTTTATTGTCTACTGTTGCATAAAATACATGCCCACGCTGGAGAACGTAGTGAATGACTATAATCACAATTTATTGTCAGTGATTTTATGTACGAACAATTACATTGTTGTTTGATATGTTTTTGTGCTGGACACAGACATGAGGATTTTATTGACTGGCTGTCACAAGACAGAAACTAAAATGTCAAGTGTTAAACTGATGAAAGTAGACAAAATTAGGATCATAGCTTTCTTTTCTCTCAAACAGTGTTTTTCAGAAAAGTGATGATGTGGCAAAAAAATACGGAATCTGACCATGTGTCCCACTGGACCAAAAGTTCAAGACCAGACCTGGTTTGGACTCTTCTCCGTGTGACGTCTCCTGAGAAGATTAGGCCCATAGGGACAGTTACTTTTTAGCTCAGCTCATAGGGTTAGAGCAGGGTTAGCCAGTTGAGCTCTGAGTTTTTGTATTTGATTGTAAAGAGAAGTAAATACTGTCAAACTCGGAATTCTTGGTCTTATGTCTGTATCAGATTCTGAGTCACGTACGTCATATATTTTTTGATAATAATACTATGGTGAATGGTTTGAAGCATTGTCTCAAGACGAATATCTGTCATTTCATGTTTTAGAATGTGAATTACAGTTTATAATCAGTATAAAAATATGGTGAAACAATAGTATCAAGGCGTGATTTTTAGTTTGGACCTGTCCTATCCCTCTTCTGTACCATTTATTTCGTTTTTTCCCAAATTTGAAAATTACAGTTAGCTAGCAAGTTGATTGAGATGCAGCCACACACACGCACACACAAAAGATAAGAAACTTTTAAAGACATCCTACAAAATCGACATTTCATTTTTAAAATAATGTTGTTTTCCCTGGACATTTACAAAAGCTGGTTTTAGAGAGATTCATTCATAATTGAGTCATGTATCATATCTTTTGTGAAAAGTCTGTTTATGATGGGGAAAATTTTGTCAAAGTTGATTTTGCGTAATGTCTCCTTTACAAAAATCGGAGACCTTTTTACTTCACAAGTCATAGTAAATATGCAAAGTTGATTAAGAAATGCAGCCCCACACACACAGACGCTCACACACACAGCCACACTTTCCCCCCTGACGCTCTGCTCTTATTTCCGCTGATGGGGAGAAGCTGCATAATTAATTTGTGTATTCTAACATGACAGATGTTTGATTTTGCCCATAAAAGTAATTAATAAGAGTGCGGCGGCACAGGCAGATTGCTGGAGATTATTTATGAAGCCTTCACGACGACACACACACGCACACACTGTACATAACGCGATAAAGCAGATGTTTTCTTCCTACACACTCGCCGACGTGAGTCTAAAGCCCCTGGACGATGATCACCGTGTAATAAAACGGTAAATTAAATGTTGTTTAAATTAACATGGGGTAATTACAAGGCTCTAAACATCACACCTGCTGCTTGTGCTGAGAGGGCGAGGTTTTTACCGCGTAATGTGGCGAGTTCAAACGTCAAGTAAACGGCATGTTCTTGTGGGTTTATTTGGATTTTTAGAATGTTTGAGGAGGACTATGGACTGAAAACGGCATAAGAAGTCAAGATTCTTACATGAGACAAATGGAATTAAGGGAATTTTTTATGTTTTGGGACGAGCCGAGATGAGCTTGTTAACAGTATCAATTCAATTCAATTCAATTTATTCTTGTATAGCCCTAAATGACAACAGAAGTCATCTCAGAGGACTTAACAAAACCATTGAAATCACCAACACAGATCAGAGAATCAACAGTTAAGACACAAAAAGGATATAGAACACGTCATGTTGATAAATGTAGAATGTTAAAGTGTCCTGGATCATCACCACAGTCCTTTTTGTGAGACACTAACTGTCCAACAGACCCTCCTATCGGCAAGGAAAAACTCACAACAAAAGAAGTAAGAAACCTACCCCCCTCAATATGTAAGAGGTAGTTTTTCCATATGTGGGAGACCCACATATTGAGAGAGGGATCCGCTCCACACGGACGGACGGGCTATAGATCCAGGAGCTAAGCTACAGAACGTGGACCAGGGCCACGGAGCGGCTGCAGAACGTGGACAGGTCCGGTGCAGGACTGAAGCACTCCCAGGCGGGTCGGGCAGGGCAGTCCGCAGGTGTAGACGGAGGCCAGGTTCAGAGGTCCCGTCGTCGCCGCATGATACAGACAATGGGACGACGGGTGAATAGCAATGAACAGACTACAGTCAAAATCCTAATAATGCAGACAGATAAAGTAGGAAGGAGGAGAAGACAGTGCTCAAGTTACTATACTTCTCCCAGCAAACTGACTCTCTACACAGCTTTACTAACAGTCCAAGATTTTTAGCTTAAATTTGAGTCTTACCTTCCTAACCATATGCTAAATTAAAGAGGAATATTTTAGCCTAGCCTAGAGCATAGGGTTGAAGATGCAGCGGACTGGGTCCCATACAAGCAGGCTCCAAGACCGGACAAGACCTGACGGGACAAACAACCTAACCATATGCTAAATTGAAGAAGAGCGTTTTAAGCCTGGCCTTGAATGTAGAGACTGTATCTGCTTCCTTAACGTGGATGAGAAGCTGATCCCCCAGTAAAGGAGCTTGGTAGCTAAATGCTCTGCCACCGACAGTGCTTTTTGAGACCTTAGGAACCACCAGATTTGGTTGATAAGGCATCAACGTGTCTTAAAGATAAGAAGGAGCAAAGCCATTTATGGCTTTGTAAGCCAAAAGAAGAATTTTAAACTTTATTCTGTACTCCACAGGGAGCCAGTGGAGGGATTTTAACAACAGAGTTATGTGCTCCCTCCTTTTGGTGCCTGTCAAGATCCTTGCTGCTGTATTTTGAACAAGCTGGAAGCTCTTCAAAGAGGTTTTAGGGCACGCTGCCAGCAAAGCGTTACAGTAGTCAAGTCTTGAGGAGACCAAAGCATGGATCAGTTTTTCCATGTCACTTTTAGGAAGGATATTCCTGATGTTAGCGATGTTCCGCAAGTGGAAATATGGCGTTTTAGTTGCTTGGTTTATATAAGCTTTGAAGGAGAGTTCTTTGTCTAAAATGACTCCAAGATTCCTCACAGTGTTGCTGGGTACTATACTGACATTATCAAGAGTGATTATTTCATCGGCAAGGGAGTCACGCAGGCTCTTTGGACAGAGTAGGATCACTTCTGTCTTCTCCGGGTTAAGAAGTAGAAAGTTAAGAGTCATCCACGTTTTAAGGTCCTTTATGCAGGCACTAAGCCTTTTCAACTGATCCGTCTGATTTGGTTTCATTGACAGATAAAGCTGTGTGTCATCTTCATAGCAGTGTAAGTAAATTCCATGCTTTTTAATTATGTTACTTAACGGCAGCAAATAGAGTGAAAAGAATTGTTCTGAGTACCGATCCCTGAGGCACACCTAATTTTACTCTAGAATAGGCCGACGAGTTCTGATTCACATTGACAAAGTGATATCGATCCGATAGATAGGATTCAAACCAGCCAAGGGTTGTTCCTCTGAGACCTATATCACATTCCAGCCTCTGCAGTAGAATGGTCTTTTGTATCAAATGCAGCGCTAAGGTCCAGTAGGACCAGCACTGACACTTGTCCATTATCAGCAGCTAGTAGTAAGTCATTTGTGACTTTAACTTGTGCCGTTTCAGTGCTATGATGAGCTCTGAATCCTGATAGAAAGACTTCAAACATATTGAGAGCAAACAGAAAGCCAAATGGGTTTAATCCAGAGCAGAATGATTTGAACTAAGAGATTGCTTATTTTCTTGTTAGAAAATGTTTTGAGATGTCCATCCATCCATCGATTTTCTTCCCCTTTATCCATTTGTAGGGTTACACACTGTCATTATGTCACAAGGACACAATGACAGCAGACATAAGTGGGAGTCGTGAAGTAGGTCTTACAGTGGGCTCGAACCCACGACCTTCAGGCCTAAAGGCCAATGCTCTACCAACTGAGCCACTCTCACCCTTTTTGGGATTTTTGACAAAAAATATAGACTTTGCTAAAAAAAAAAAAAAATTCTATTTGGTGTTTCTCAGTCTGAGTCCTTGGAATTATTTTTTGTAATTGAAACGCAACCGGGAAGGGGAGAGTAGGGCGAGTGGAAACAGGTCAGTCCATCCAGCCTGTCCTGGGCCATCTCTTGTCCAAACACTACTCATCTTGTTGCAGTGGTTCCCCTATTTGCCAACTCCTCGGCTCAGATGACACAACTTGGCACTTGTACTTGAGTAGTAGTAACTACTGGTACCAGCATTAGCATCAGTCCTCTCCACTGTACACATTATAGCCCCTGTGTCTTAAATGTCCATTAGCACATTGTTGCCACCTCTTTTTATTTGGTTAACCCTGCTTGTAACCCTCTTTTGAATACACAAAAGTCATTGGGCTCTGCGGGCGCCGTGTTGATAGACTGGCTGGAGCACACTCGCTTTCACTGTCACAACAGTTGCCGATTTATGCCCCAATCTCAGCCGCAAACCGGAGCTTTTCTTTTTTTACCCAGCGTTTTATGAGCGCGCCGTAGAGCCTCACAAGATC